TTTCAAGAATAGTGATCCCATTTTTAACATTTTCTCCGCCGCACAACACATAATATATGGCACGTTGGGTGAGTGGGTCATCGGTTAACTGTCCCAAATCACCATTACTTAAAATTTGATTACAAATTCAATTGGTAAATTGTTATTGATTAACCAAGACATTATTATTATCCAAATGAATTAAATATATTTAATAATTGAATATTTTTTTTAACTATCCATACATAATATGTACACAATTTGAAACACTATTTAATCACTACTAGTGTCTACACTACTGTATATTATTGTTAATGTCTTTATTAGTTGTTTGACGAGTTGCTAACAAATTATTTTGAACATTGATTTTATTATTTTAAATTTGAAATTTAATAGAAACTAACCTTTGATTAAACTATTGTAAATAAATACTAAAATTATTTTAATAGTTATACTGTATATACTTTATATGTATATTAAAAAATAAATTAAAGTCATATGATATAATTTTTGTTTATATTAATAAGTATTATATTATTTCAATCTAGCAAAAAATTATTTAAAAAATAGTAATTTAATTATATATATTTTTATGATAATCTATGTTACACATGTATTAACTATCATAAATATTAAGTAACAAAAATTTCATTACATTAGTAAAACATTTAACACATAAATATGATACAACAAAATGTTTGACTAAAGAGATAGTAATGTCTTACAGAGATTTATTTAACTCATTATTCAATTTGTATGCTTTTAGTATAAATCCATAGCTAAACAACATATATATATATATATATATATATATATATATATATATATATATATACAATATATTGGATCTAAAGAGTGATTAACAGCCATGACTTGTGTGATGCAATTTTTTATACAAATATATATTATGTTATTTATATCCCAATATATACAGTATATCCCATAATACCCGATAATGAATGTGTGTATTAAAGAAAAAACTATAAGCAGTACACATCTAATGGGTGACCAATTAATAATTACAGACATTATGTGATCATATATCCGGGCACTCCATTGTTAGAACCGTTATGGGGCTAACTGTGCGCTCCAAAAATCTGGTCGACTCAGCAAACGGTTATATGTGTTATATTATATAATATAACTTTCGGTGTTTGTGTTTGCGATGTCGGTGCGGACATTACGATAATTTCCGAGTGATAGAGAAAAAGTAAGAGAGAGAGAGAGAGGACAGTCATATTGTCTAACCCTGTGCTTGATTACTGATGAGCTGACAATTTAGAGATGAATTATTGGTACCGACATTAACACATCAACATTATTACCCATCACTGTTGCCATTCAATCCCATACGTGATCTAACTTTTCCTATCATTAGTTTTATGGCTTTTAACCCAAAATATACAGTACATATATATATATATTATATATATATATATGTTTGTATACTATTAATTTGATATGTTTTTCATAAAACAAAATCATTAAATGGTATCAAACAATATATACCAATAAAAGCTATAGAAATTTATTTAATGTATATTAAGTTAACTGTAATATAATAATATTAGCTTGATAAAATTCACATTAACTTTTATATAGAGATATATCCGAAACTTTTTCATAAATATCAATATATTTAATGATATAATTATTGAATGATAGATAAGAGAAAGTAATGTTTTTGGTTTTCAAAAGTTAAGCCACAAAACTTACATTACATTCAAATTTAGTTATAAGTTATATAATAGAAAACTGAATAGTAATGACTTATTAATATGTTTTTGATGAATTGACTTATATTTAATAATAATAACAATAATAATCAAATTATATATTTTTTAATGTTATGATCAAACAAAATTCAAAAAAATATTCAATAATATCAATATTATGATTTTTATTTATAATTACAATCGTGATGGTAATTATTTTTTAAATATTTTTTATCTCTAACAATATACAAAATACTGTATATATTAATATTTATCTTAATACATATTAGTTGTATAATAAAAATTAATATTTATTACTTAACTTATAAATAAAAATTATTATTAAGCATATATTATTTAAATAATAAAAAAATTTTATTTTTATTTTTTAGGCATAATAATTAAAACCAAATTAAAAACATTTGGTTTTATATAATGTTATATATATTTTTTTTGTTGGCAAAAACGGACTACTATTTATCAAAACAAGTGGATAAAAGTCACGATCCCTATCAAGTGATTTTCAGCTAATCATTAATCAATGTTATGTCAATTTATCATTTAATTGTGGAGTCGTTTTCAATTGAAAAAACCATATAATACTTTATATTAAATAAAAGTATTGCTAGAGTTCAATGAAATACAAGGAAATAAAAACAATAGAGTCTATATCTATCTCTCTATTTATATATAATTTTTTTGTGTGTTGTTTTAATTTTAATTAATAGTTTTATGGAGACAATTGTTATCATTAGTTTATAAATCAAATAGTTTGTCACTTATTTATATATCTATGATATGATATAATATTAATGATGAGTTATCAAACATTATCAGATATTATACAATGATAAGCTATGAAATATGAGTGCCCAGTACTAAATGATATAATATTTTCATAGTAATATGCGATAAGATATTATGGACACTAAAAGCTATTTGTATATTAAAAAGTCAAAATTTGTATGAAACTGTTGTGTCAATATTTAGTGTCCAAACCCCTGACCATAGCTTTTTTAAACAAAAAATAAAGTTTGCTTTTTGATGTCCATTAGTAATGAATACAAGCAAAACGTTTAGCTAGTTTTTCACAAGTTATTAATAAATATTATAGATTTATATTGACATAAAAAATTAGAGCCTTTTTATATATATACTAAATATAGTTATGGTATAATATGAGACACAATATTTACAAAAGATAAAGCCTTCAAATTTTGTTAATAACAATGGCTTTCAAACTTTATTTATTTGACAGCTTTTATTAGACAATCGGTGCTAAAAGTTATCCATTTATACTCTCTCTCTCTCTCTCTCTCTCTCTCTTTCTTTCTTTCTTTCTTTCTTTCTTTCTTTCTCTCTCGCATTGTATATKATATGGTGTGTTAAATATATATTGCCGACWATATTATTATATATATGTGGCCATAAATATTGGACACTCATTACGTGATTGCCTTACATTAAGCTAATAGTTTTTACACATAGTTTTTTCTCAAATATGATATCAATAAATATATACAAAATGTATATAAAAAATATAATATTTTTTATCACTGAATAAATTTTCTTAAAATTATATTTTTCAATATATATATAAAGAGTATATTGTAATAACTTTAAAAAATATTGTCTAATTTGAATATATTTTTTTGTGTTGGATATCATGTTTATATTCCCTGAATTGAATTATGCTTGATTACACTGAGTTTGTTGTGTCATAAAAAATATAATAATATTTTTATTATTTTAATAAAAAACATTGAAATTTTTGTCGGCATTTTCAATAAATCTCAATAGTATTAAACAATTGTGTGATGATATTCACACAAACATACATAACACTTGATTATCATATAAACTATTTATGCATATTATTTGAAAACGGCATACCATTGGTATAGTGGTGTCGACACTACTAGTGATATAAAAAAAAGTAATTATAATATATTTCATGTATATTAAATATCAAACGTGTTATAGATAAGTTACATGCAATTTGTTTATGTGCTATATTTTCATTACATATTCATCAATAAATTTATTATTTTTGATATATTTTTTTAAACAGCAAATCCTCAACAATATAGCGAACAACTATACACTAATAAATTGATAATATTTTAATAAATAATTCAATAAGTTATTCAATTGTATTTTTTATATATTTTGTGTGTGTATTGGTTTGATCTTRGAAATTATTTGAGTAYCAGATAAAGCAGGTGCTGACATAACAGTGCAGATACTCATATACAGTAATATATAATATTGTGGATTGAAAAAGGAAAGGTTAGGTGAAAATAACACTCCAATGAATTGTTAAAATGCAATAACTTATTGCCATACATGCGATACAAATGTTARGGGAGTGGGAGATAGAGACCTGATATGTGAATAATCATAAAAATCGCATTTTATTTCCAAAAAAAAGTTTCTGATATTAAAAAATATATTTATAAATATATCAGTGAAACTGTAATGATTTAGTCACATACCATAAGCCAATAATAATAGACTAATACGAGAGTATTGAAACTCAATTTTTCACATATATATATATAATATTATACTTTTAATGATTTATTAATATAAATTTAATATTTATTTGATGGATAACTTTCATAAAAATAAACTAAACCAAACTCTTGATATTATTGTTTGTTAATGTTTTTATATATCAATACTGATAAAAATAAACATTTCAGAAAAACATATTATTATTGTTAGAAAATAATTATAAAATAAATAAAAATTATGACATTTAAATGATTTTTTAATAAGTAAATCAATACAATATCTGAAAAACAAAAATATTGTTTATTTGAGTATAGCTTTCATCTAACTTTATTATCATCCATACAAAGAAAGTCAATTTAATAGATTGCTTYATATTTTTATATATAACTTACTCGTACTGTACTCTATGCTGGTGTGTGTGTGTGTGTGTGTGTGTGTGTGTGTGTCACTGTGTGTACATCAGTCGCACGAGCGCTCAGTTAGCAGCACTGTTAGCACACACACACACACATATATATATATATAATATACACAGACACACCATCACTGATAGAACATAGAGTCAGTGTATTATTATATTTTGCAAATGCAATGATGTGTAGCGTCGCTAGTGTAGCGCTCGTGTATATGTTGTTTAAGGTTTGGTTTTTGGAGAGGTTGTACTGTTTCGGTGGAGAGTCAGTCAGTATATAATATGAACGTGTGTTGAGTTCAGTTCAACAGTTTGTCACTGAACCTGACCGACAGCAGTAGTAGTTTTTTTGAGGTCTAAACACAAGCAGCAAAAAGTTTTGCCAAACACTTTGTATTACTTTTTTATAACTTTGTGAATAAAAAGTTATATATATTTAGTATAAGTTATAAAATAAAATACAAACTCTTAATAAAGAAAAATGACAAGAGTTTGGTCGCTGTCCACCAATGATGAGACACAGGAAAATCAGTTACGAATTGTTTGGAAAAACAATTCAAAACTCTTAAGCTTTGACAGTGGCTACGAGTCATCACTGAACAGCCAGTCCATCGGCTCTGACATCAATGATGATGATGTCTACGAGGATGAAGAAGCTCTGGATTTTGATCACAACAACTTTGACGATGCCTTCGACGACGAGATCACAGATGTAAACACCATTGAAGACAACAGTAACCGATGTCAGCAATCGACACATGTAGTCAACACTACATCATCACATGTTGTCTCACCAATGCGTGCACAGAGCTCTCCGATACCGATCCCACAGAACCCGTACCGAAGATACAGAAAGAGATCAACCAATCGTCCAAAGAGTAGATTATCAGTTGATTCAGGTTTTGATATCACTCCGTTGTCGTCGACAATCACGCCATCAATTTGTGTCATCGATTCAGTTGACTATCGGATCGGTCATCCGCCCTATGATTGCGGTTGTATTCGCGGTTATTATCAACAGAGACACCTAATTGTCGATAATACCGATGCAAACAACTCGCCACACATGCCTACACTACAATCAGGTAAATAAATATATATATAATTTTATATATAATATTAAATGAATTTTATTGTAATTATTAATCTGTTAGAATAGTTTTTATAAATAATTTAGATTAATATAGATTAATAAAAATAAATTTTAGATTAATTATATAAAAAATTATTTAAATAATTATCCAATGTTAGAAAAAATATATCTATCTATAATTAATTTTTTAATATTAATAAATAGTAAAAATTTGTTTAAATTTTTATAATATAAAATTATATATATTTCATAATTTATAAATGTCAGCTTTATTTAAAAAATAAATGTTTCTCAAAAATAAATATAATATTTTATATAATATATTATATGACACATGAAATATAGAGTCGATTTGTTTGTTAAAACTTTGTTATACATTGCTATCAATTCAATGTAGATTCATGTGATGTTTTGTGTTGACATCTATAGAGACACTATATATAACTATTTAGATATATAAAAGACAGCTTCACTGCACACACTATGCATGCATTGCAGCAATGCTTATGTTTTTGGTTTTTTGAAAAATATTTATTTACAAAAAATAAATTAAATATAAAGTAAAATATTAATAATTTTAAATCTGAATATTTTAAAATTTTATTAATATTGTATCCCAAAATTTCACTTACATTGAAAATTAGTAAAATTTAATTTAGCCTTTAATTGAATATCAATAACTATTTATATATAKATTGTATATTTTAATAAATTAAATAAAAATGATTATTAAAAAATACTAATTAACTAATTAAATAATTATATTAATAGGTAATTCATCAGTGTCACCAGCATCACAGTCATCATCATTATTACATAATGTCATGTTATGTAATAATAATCATAATATTAATAATCAAAGTACGAGTAGTAGTAGTCATCTGGAGTCTGATGTCTGCAAAAAACTCTATCCATTGCCTGATATAATCAGTTCATCGCAGAGCAGAGCCTTAATGAATGAAATCATACGAGAAATTGGTTCAGACCTCAGGAGAGTCAGCAATGATTTTATCACAACATCAACACTAAACACAAATGTGAGTGAAAAATATATATMTCATTACTTATCCATATATTTATATAATTTAGATATATATTTATAGTATATAATACTAMTGTATATAACATCTATATCTTAATAATATACATAATAATTGTAAAACCAAATCAGCATTTAGTTTAGTAACCAATACTTTATATGCCATATATGGCGTGAAATAAAACTAAAAGTAATCCATTATTTTGATGGTCTCTTTCTCAATGTGTATCAATTGTTAGCCAATGTATTGAATTTTTAAACTTTTTTTAAAGTTTGCATTTATTTCGGCATAACATTTGTAGTCAAATAGCTATTTATTTAAGCATTAAAATTCAATTCTGTGCCACAAATGCTACTCAGGAGAGAGAAAGAGCTTTTAGTCCATATATTTAGTATTTTATACAAAATCTAAAGCCAATTGTGAAAATGTTTTTCAAAATTGAGTAAATTTTTCACCCAAAAAATAAAGTCCATTTATTTATATATATATATATATCTAAGTGATAGCTATACTGTATATTAACTATATATATATATATACATAAGTTTGTGATGACTTCATATCCCAAACAATATTTTTTATTTGCTTTAAGTCATCCGCATTTTAAACTCCTCTCATATTTTGTATAATCTTTTTTTAATATATAACCAAATATATGATATTTTATAAAGTTATACATGAGTTATGCACTCTTACTTGACTGGACCCAACTCTTAATATAACATATCTATTGATATATACAGTATATAGTTATTTAAAAACGGAAACGAAATATTTTCAATACTTGAAACATACATATCTTCAAATAGTAGCCGCATATACACCAAATCAATATGATATTCATTCAGTATATTATTATTTATATCAATAGCCCTTATATTTATATATTATTGTACAATAAATTTAGTATTATTATCGGTTATGATAAGTGTTGATCAAATCTAAAATTTAAAAATAAATTTGTTATACATTTATTGTAAAGTACTCATCGGATTCCTGTATTTTTTCAATACTATATTACAGAAGGAGAGATCAATGTTATCGGCCGTCACTACTCGTTTGATAACATCACTGGCGATACCATTGATTTTACGAGAAGTAGTTTCACAACTATTTTAAAAGAGAAAGAGAGTGTTTGAAACCCTGAACTCCGATAATACAGATAATGTAAATAATATTATATAATATTGACATATATATTGTTGATTAAGTTGGATATAACACCAAATCATTTTGGTGTTTGGCATCTGGTGTCGGGATTGACGACAACGACGACGACATCCATAAACACACCAAAAAAACGCTTCAATGGATCAGTCATTTTAAAGTATAATTTCATGCAAAGTATATTTGATTTGATTTTTTTAGAATTTAAATTTAAATAATATAAACAGTAAAATGACATTTTCAATACATTTGTAATAAACATGTTTCTCCAAACCCATGTCTTTCATTGAAATAACATAATGTATTATATATTTATATACTGTATATGTATATAAACATTAAACACAAACATTTTTATAATATAAAAATTAAAATAATAATTATAAACATTTTTCATACAGTCAATCATTTTTTTTAAAATAAACAATATAACATACTATTAATTTTGTAAATTATTATTATATAAATATAGTTTATTAATTAATATTTGTATGAAAACAACAAATTTTATATGAAATTTTATTTATACGATAAAAAAGCACCAAAATTTTTTTACTTTATATGAATTTTATATATTATTTATTTATATACATATAATATTTCATGTGTCTTTGATAAACAATTTTTTTTGGTAAATAAATAAATAACTTTATGTAATTTGCTAAATACACTATATTTGAAAAATAAAATAAATTATTAATGAAAATAAAAATAAATTTATTATTTGTTTATTTGTTGTATTAACTAATCAAATTAAAAAGCGATTAAATGCTATTTATATATAAAATAACTTTGAATGACAAGAGTCGACACTTTGGGGATCAGATGGATGTCTTGAGCCATCATAAAGCCATTCATCATTAGAGAGAGAGAGAGAGAGAGAGAGAGAGAGAGAGAGAGAGAGAGAGAGAGAGAGAGAGAGAAACTCATGAAAATTAATATAATATCCTCTCTTTTGAATAACAATTGATATCCATTTATCAACTCTTTTTGTTGATACTAAACCTAATGCCAAACAAATATATGTAATATATAAATCAGTTTTGGGAATTGAATGATACAAATATAAAAACAAATAACAAAAATTTATGCCTCATATCCATTGAATACATTGCATTTTTATTATTATTGTTTGCTATATATTGCAATATATACAGTATATTGTGTCTCAATGTTTTTTCATCAAATAACATCTTAAATATAGAGAAAAAAACAATAATAATAACAATAAAAAACTAAACAAATAAACAAAAAGATTATTATTAATGAAAGTATGCTTTTATATTGACTGTTAAAATAAAGTTTTATTTTTTAAATTTACAATAAATCAAACGCTTTTAACAAACATTTGATTTTTCTGTGTAACAAAAATTAACTCAACATTATTTTTGTTGTTATTTTCAAATGATAAATATAACTTCATATATAATCACTTCATCTATTATACAATTGGCATCAATTGGGAGCAAATATTTTTATTTTTTAAACATTAAATAGAGTACAAGTAAAAAAGCAATATTTTATTAGTGATTTTTGTAAATTTATTTTTTTGTACATGATAAATCAAGTTTTATTAATGAACATAGTACTGTTTTTTTTAATTTTTTTTTTAATTTTGTTTATTTGCTATAATTCTAATAACTAACAATATTATTAACAATAATAACATTATATTTATATAATAAATAGACATTATTTGAATAAATTTTAAAACAACAAAAATTATTTATACTATATATATATATATATATATATATTTATATTWTTTTTTAAACACAATTTTGGGAACTTTGAAACATTCAAAAATTCAAAACCAAACATATAATAAATAATTTATGTGTTATATAATGTGGTTATCCCTATCCCTTCTCTCTTCAATTTTTTTTAATGTTAAATATCTGGTTAGCCCTGATATGTGGGCATAACTATAAATTTTATATTTAAAAATAAATTTTTAAAGGCTTATGCTGGGACAGTAAAACACACACTCAAAAATTGCTTTAAATTAAATTTAAAAATTACTTTTTAAAAAAACTTAGTCAACTGTTCAACAATGTTCAGAGATAAAGGATTTTATTGGTTTTGCATATATTGTATATTATGGCCACAAATATTAGATATAATTTTATTTTTTTAAAAAAAGTATAATACAATACATTGATGTGTGCGATATGCAAGTGATGGCATACACAGAGAAAGAGTGTTTGAGTCATAAAAATACAAATATCGGACATAAAAATCGGATTTTTATGAAATAAAGTWCAATAAAAAAAATTGGATATAAATTATTGTTTGAAAGCCTTTTGCCGTTTTTTGAGGCCGTAGGGGTTGAGTGGGGTTGGGGTCACTCTCTCACTCTCTATCAATAAAAAGTTTGCAATAATAAATAAATTTAATGCTTTCATTATATGTTGACTACACACTCACCCACTCACTCACTCACACACTTGGAGTTTACAGGATTTTAAAACCATTTTCAAAGTGACTGCCAGTTGTGATATACTATATATGATATCATAAGTTATAAATTTCTCTTCAAAAAAAAAAGAGAAAAACCAAAAATAAATAGCGATTGTGTGTCACGTTTTATGAACAAACCATTTAAACTATAACTCACATCACAATTGATATCATTTTTTGACATCAAAATTGACAAAAAGGCCTCTCTTTTTATTTTCACTGATACATCATATGGTTTTTAAAAGTATTTTTGGATCTGTTATGTTCACAGCATTAAAAGCATCGTTAGATTTTAGGGCTCCGGGCGAGAGACTCATATAGGAAGTCATAGTAATCATAGCAATATGTTTGTGTGCATATATATAACAATAACTATAATGTCCACAAATTGCTAAAAAATTTTGCTGACTATGTTTAATAATAATAAAAATCATTAACTCATACTTAAAATATAATACATTTTTCAGGAAATTAGAAAATATTATTTGACTTACTATTATCTATTTGTTATATAGATTTTCATATCAGTCTATTGATTGCACTACCGATATCTTAAGCCTCATTGAACACAACAATTATAAGCGATTGCTTTCCAGTGATAGACTGAGAGAGAGAGAGAGAGAGAGAGAGAGAGAGAGAGAGAAGAGAGAGAGAGAGAGATGTTATGAAATGAGAAAAAGTAAGTTATGTTATAATTTTGTGATCAATTTGTGACAGAAAATATGAAAACCGCAAAAAAATGTCTTTAGCTTTTGAATTGATATCCCAGTCTAACGGCTCATTTGAGACCTATTTTGATAGACTGTTATAAAAGTTTTTCGCAAAGATATCAGGAAACACAACTACTACTACTGGAAGAGAGAGAGGGAAAGTGTAGTTGTGTTATGTGTGTGTGTTGTCGGTGTCTCCAGGATTTGTGAGACTTCCTATACATTGGAGAAAACAATTGGACTCACCATCAAAACATCATTTATCATCTGACGATAGCTCTGTGCCATTGAGTAGAGTATTAAATAAAACTCTCGGCTATCGTATCAATATTACGAATATTGAAATGGGCTTTGATTTAATAGAGAGAGAGAGAGAGAGAGAGAGAGAGAGAGAGAGAGAGAGAGAGAGAGAGAGAGAGAGAAAGCATCACTTTGTATGCCTAATACCAATCTTTTTAACACAAACACTCTCCTACTAGACTAAGCTCTCATACATAACATCCCACAGTGACTGTCTGTGTCTGTGACATAATATACAACACACACTGTATGGTAAAATAATAATGCAAAGAAAGAGAGCCTACCAGTGCTACCAGTGATCAGTAGTAGTAATTCATTACCGATTCTGACAATTATTGAAAATCCATTGAAAATAGCAGAGAATCGCTTATATTTTGTATCACACATTGTGTCTGTGTTTTGGAAATTCCTTCCGTAACAGTGTTTGGGATTTAATTTTATTCAAATCATATCAAAACACAGACACACAAAATAGTGGGAAACTTTTTTTGCACACAAAATTCATACATAATAAACACATTTTTTGTTGTTTGGTATTACATAATAAAAAGCATCAAATAATTCAATTTAGTTTTTCATACAAAAAATTGATACACAATTTCCTATCAATTTGTTTTATACATACATAGACTACTAATAGAAAAATAGCGACACAATAACAAAAATATTATGTGTAATAATTATATGTATATAATATAATAACAAACATATGGTACCAGAAATATTATTATAGTGTTAGATAGATAGATAGATAGATAGAGAGAGAGAGAGAGAGAGAGAGAGAGAGAGAGAGAGAGAGAGAGAGAGAGAGAGAGAGAGAGCATTGAAAAAGCAAATTTCAAATTAACGCAACAAATACTTTACATAAATAAACATTTTTGAAACATTAAGAAAGTGTTTCATCGATCACTGTCTGTCAAAATTCAGTGCAAAATTATTTGTACAAAACAAATACACAAATACTTACAGTATATATATACTAGTAAAACGGTGCCCATTATATGTGTACACATTTAAAATAAATGTTTCATATCATTCTACTATCTATCTATGCCGTCCTCCCTGTCCTCCTCTCTCTCTCTCTCTCTATCAGTAAGGCACTGGTGTTTCAATAATGAGCAGTAAATATCCATTTATCTAATAATTTAATTTATCATCCCGATAATCTATCCCAATCATTGATCCAATTTGATTAAATTTATTTAACATTTTTTTCTATCTTTTTAAAGATATCGTTAATAAATAAAAATTTGTTTTATCAATTACTTTATTTTAAGGTATAATTTATGTATTGAATGACTTATGTTTATATATTGAATATATAAAAAAGTCACTCAGCCTTTAATAATGATTGATATCAATGAATGGCTAATAAGTAGTTTAACTTTTTTTTGTATCTATCATTTGTCAAACTCTAAGAGAGAGAGAGAGAGAGAGAGAGAGAGAGAAATGAAATACAGAATATTCTGTTTGTTTGCAAAATACTGTATAAACCAGTCTATCGTTATTTTTTTGACAAATGATAGTTAGAGAGTTGAAACATTGAAATTTTCATTTAT